CACGTGGCTGGCCTTGTACGTAAGAGGTTATGAACAGGTGGAGCTTTCCTTACCTCCTTCCCCTCCCCCTTTTTTCCTTTTCCTTTTTTCTTTCCCCTTTTTTTTGCGCTCTGATTCACAATGTGACAATATATATATATTTCTGTTTGACGGAACTGCCCGGTAAACCGTAGGCAGAGAGGGAGAAGAGGATAACAAACGAGGGACTGTGACAAACTGTTTATGTATGTATATATATCGTCCAACAGATGTGTCCGGTATATGTGTTTGACGATATATATATAGATAGATATAATTCTTTTATGTATAAGCTGCAGACCTTGGAGGGTTCAGCCACCTGATGAGTCGGTGAACTGATACGAAAGTCTATTTCAGCCCCTGGTTTGTTGTCCTTCTCTCACTCTGCCTGCGGTTCGCCAGGCAGTTGTCTATGACGATATATATATCCTTGGAGAACTGCCCTGTGAACCAAAGGCAGAGTGAGAAATGGTAAAGGACTGATGGGCTGTGACACACTGCTTCGTATCAGTTTCACGGACTCATCAGGTGGCTGAACCGCCTACAGTCTGCGGAGTCCCATGGTCGATGATACTGTAACTGATAATTCACCTTAACCCTGTTAGTGGTTAAGCATCGGCAGCTGCCCGGCAACTGATACCCTGGGATGGGCACCAACCATTGCCCTTGAGGGTACAACCATTGCCCTTGAGGGTACCTGTGACTAAAATCAAAGCATACGATTGTTCACTCACACCAGATGGAAGACTCTACAGACTGCATGTTCACACCCCGTCTAGTTCGCGTGCTCAGCCCTACCTTCCGCGGTGATGCAAGTGTGGGTGTGCTGTTCGTGAGCGCAGATGGACAGGTCGGTGGACATTTCCCACACAACCGCGAGGAGCCTTGAACTCTACAAAAAGGGCAAACACTGCAAAAGGAAGAAAAATTAAAATAAAGACTAAGGAGAGGAGAAAGAGAAATGATTGGAAAGGGCCGACATAGTTGGTTCATTTTGTCTCTTGTCTTTTCTTCCTTCCGTTTCACACATTCGCTTGTACGCAGTTGTTGTGGTGTGCGTATAGGCACAAGTCTCAAAGGGAAGGTTTTTTTTGGGTCCCTGAAACCCCTGCGTGCTGGTGATGGTGTTGTCTGTGTGTGTGTGTGTGTGTGTGTGTGTGTGTGTGTGTGTGTGTGTGTGTGTGCGTGTGTGTGTGTGTGTG